GTCAGGGCTGAGGTGAGGGGAGCAGGGCTGAGGTGAGGGGTCAGGGCTGAGGTGAGGGGAGCAGGGCTGAGGTGAGGGGTCAGGGCTGAGGTGAGCGGAGCAGGGCTGAGGTGAGGGGTCAGGGTTGAGGTGAGGTGACCTTATGTGAGGTCATAGGGATGATTGTTTTGGATTCCATCATCAGGTAAATCCCAGAACTCCAGGTATACTCCTGGGCTTTGTGGGGGCCGCTATCAGCCCGTCGCCATGCCTGGAGCGTATAGGAGTTCTGTTAGGAGAGGGCAGACCACTGCTATTATAACAAGAGAATAGGCTCTGAGACAACTTCAGTGAGCTTCTTTGCTAACCAGTCCTCTGACCCATGATGGCTCCACAATGCCTGGTCTGAGAACAGGCAGATGCTGGTCCTTCCTCTGCCTTTTGGGCCATTTGTTCCTATGACAGCCACATCTGTCTGAGGCCCAGGTAGTAAGGACCAGTGACGAGAGGGCTGATTTTGGGGGAGTGAGCTGTAGTCAGCACCTCCTCAGGAATATGACAGGGATCCAAGTCTTAGTTACTTTCTGAGGACTGAGGGGCCTCAAGTCCAGGCAGCTTTTCCGTCTGGCTCTTCTAGTTCAACTTGTTTTGTCAACGTTATTGGGGTTGAGTTCACTAGGCCATGTTCCGTGGGTCCCTCCGTAGCTCTGCTGGGTGTCCCCACCTTGCCCATGATTTCAGCTACCAGCCGTGTGCTGACACTGCCATATTTATATCTCTCACCAAACCTCTTTCCTCACCAAATTTTCTGTTTCTCTGTGGGGCGTTCTGTGCCTCAAACTCAACCTTCTCCTGAATCCTGCTCCATTTTATAACCTTTCCCTGTCACCTTTCAACTAGTTTATACCTGTGAGGTAGAAACCTGTCAGTCGAGATATTTCCTCCTTCCTCAACCTCATGCCAAATGCTGACTATTCTCATGTCATGTCTACCTGCTAGCTCACAAATACATCTTTTTCTATCTTTTCAGCCTACTGCTGTTGCTGCTGCTTAGACTTGTAGTCTCTTCAACACATGCCCAGTCTGTGCAGCGTCTCCTGCCTGTCTCCTACCTGTTCTCCTTACCTCTGGAGTCTTGCTCCAGCCCAATTCTGTTCTGGGGGGGTCTCTTCGAAGTACAGTTTTGACTCTGTCATTCTCCCTCTTAGAACTTTTCCCCTCTCCTTGACACTGAGAGGGAGGAGGGGGGAATTTCCCCTAACCTTGGGAGGTCCCTTCCCTCAGGCAGGTCTGTCCTCCCTTCCTTCTTTCCTTGCCTGCTCTCTGCCACCACCCCTGCCTGCCTGGATTCTGGTCACGAGTTCGTCCCAGACTTAGCCTGCTCTTTCTTGCTTCTTGTCTTTGCACATGCAGTTCCCTCTGCCTAGCATATCTTTTGCCCTTTGTGTGCCTGGTCACCTTCTATTTACCACTGAAGACCAGTTGGGCTGTGGCCTCTGTCAGGAATTCTTCCTGGGAGAGTCACCCCAGCCTACCCTCTCTCACAGCACTTCTTACTGGGCTGTGCTCACATGTGTCTCTACCAGATTTGCCATGTCCTCAGCCATTTGTGTAGGGCCTGACAGCTGGTGGGGGTCTGGAAGTGGTGAATGAGGTCACATCTGTGACTTTCACTCTGAGAGAAGACCTATCAGAAGGGGACAGGAGGGCTGCCCTGGTGGCCCTCCGACCTGGGAGACAGTGCCCAGAGGACAGAGCTGACAGAGGTGGCCAAGCAAATGGCCTGCAGCAACTCTCCTGCTTCAGGGCCCATGGAGCTGCCAACTGATATTTTGATGTCTGTGGCAATCCCCCATGGGAGGCTACCCTGCCTTGTTAACTCCTTGCTCCTCCAAGGCACACGGTCTCTCCAATGGACCCATCCTGATTTCATTGCAAACGGCAGACTCCTTTGGCCTAACTCAGTCTTGCCTGCATTGGGGGTCTGCTTTCCTCTTAAGTCCACTCTGCAGTGAAAATTAGCTTTGGGGAACACACATCCTGTGTGTGTTACCAGCCCGGAGACCAGAAACCCATTTGTTCATGGGTAAATGCAGGCGGTCTGTCTCCTTCAGGAGTCATCAATCCACCAGTGGCCTTTAACCTAGGCCCTGATGCACCAATTAGCAAGCACCCTGACACCTCCATTGTCCACCACCAGTGCCGCCCTGGCACATGCTTGGGTGGGCCAGAGTGACAGAGGTGCTCCTGGTCTGGTTTCCTAGCAGCTATGGAAGATCTCATGTCCCTTTAGATTTTAATCTCCATGTAAGGGGTTCTCCAAATTATCATACCTCAGGGCTCCTCAGGCCTGTGCTCATGGGTGAATCCCTCAGGCTCTGGGGTGTTTCATGGGATGTCTATGGACATGAAGACGTGCTCCTTCAGCACTGTGGGTCGGGCTTCCTGGCCCCCACCTCTGTGGGAGTCCCCCTCCCTTCCTTACCCCTGTCCTGCTGGGGGCACACCCTGGAGTCCCCATGGCTGCCTCCCAGGAGAGAGGCTGACAGGAGAGAGGGGCTGGAGATGGGTGAGGCCTGCAGGTGGGCGCGTCTGACGGATGGAGGAGCAGCACCCCTCACAGGCTGTATCACTGTGTCTCCTATGGCAGCGCTGACGCTGACGCTCCCTTTAAATACCCAAGTCCTACAGGAAAAGGACAGATGAGGGTTTAAATTTAGCAACAGTAGAAAAGGGGGCGGAGTGAGACTGGGATAGGGTGGAACTTGCTCTGCCAGAAAAGGAATGAGAACCCCAGAATGCCTGGGCAAAAATTCTAATCCACAAGGGTAAAAAGGAATGTCTCTCCCAAAAAGCCAATTTCAAAGACCTGACCCAAATTCCTGATGTTCCCCCCCTCCCATGCCAGCTTTGTGCCTCTCTGCCTCCCCCATCAGATGTGATTTTTTCTTTTCAACTCCAGCAGGCTGGGCTTCTGTTGTCCTTTTTCCAAGGGCTGCCGAGCAGCGGGCTCTGGGGAGAAGAGCCTGTTAATAGGCCAGAGCAACATTTTTGGGGTACAGGTGAGAAATGAGGCTGGGGAGGGCTCCATGCCAGGAACTTAAAGTTTATCTTGAGGACTGTGGAAAGCCACCAAAGCAAAAGCAACACTTGCGAATCTGATTTTCAGTAAGCTCAGTGCAGAGGTGTGGTCATTCCAGGTGCTACCTGCTGAGAAATAATTGTAGCTCCAGGTGATAATTGAGCAAAGCCCCAGGGTACTGGGCCCTAGGGAAGGACTTAGCCTACCCCTGTCACCTGGAGGTCTAGCAGGCCCCTCACAGATCAGCAAGCCAGTGGTTTTCTGTGTGGGGCCCTACTTGTGGTCGTCATCTTGAGGGGACTCCTACAGCTCAGAGGGGCACCTTTTGCTAGGTGAGATGTGGGAGGAGGGCTTTGCCGACATGTCGCCTGTGTCCAACCCCAGCGACTTAGTGCTCTGTCTTGGTCTTCAATGCTTTTGTGTTTTGGTTCATTACCTAACAGGCAGAACTGCTTCCTCGTGGGGTTGAATGTGCTTAACCAAGTTCGTTTTTCCTGAAGTGACTTGGGATAGGCTTATTACATGCTGGCTTTCATTCATTTTCATGAGATGGACAAGACCTGTTGCTAGCTCCTGTGACAAGGGGGTCCTTAAAAACATGAAGACTTGGGGTTGGCAAGATCTTAAATTTCCCTCCATTCAAAACACAGAGGGCATCTGTGTTCCATTTGTTTGGAACACAAGCAGACCGCCTGTTTCCCCCCCAACACCCCCAAATCATCACAATGTACAGAAGCTTATACCTATAAGAAGAATGTCTATTTTTATAGTTACCAGGGTTGTTTGAAACTGGCTCAGGGGTGTTTTATAACAGGTGGGGGTGGAACCACAGGTGTTCCCAGGGCCTTTAAGCAGGAGTTCACAGGCTGTGGGTACAGACTTCTGTGCTGACCTTAAGCTCCACGGGTAAAAGTGATATGGTACTGCAGCGAAGGCAAAAATAGAGATTAGTTTATCAAAGAGATATCTTTTGGTCTCACTTTGAGTGGAAGATTCTTAGTTACAAAGGTTTTTCTAGATAAGGCCTCCAGTTCAGATGACTAGAATAACTGTTTTGCAGATTTTCTAACTGCACCTCAAACCTTGAAAGGAGCTGCATGCCACCTCCAACGTGTGTGAGCTTGCGCGTGTGTGTGTGACTCCGTGTGGTCCCGAGGAGGCCTGTGTAGTCAGTCTCTTGTTGCCCCAGTCTCTTGTTGCACCATCATGGGACAAAGGAATGAAATGTGGAGGGGCACGTGCTCCAGATTATTAGGCCTGTCCACAAACTTGCAATAATTACCTACCTATCATCTCTGGCTGGCTTTGGAGTTGTAACCTTTACCCTCTTGGGTTAATTGCACAATCCCTTAGCCAGGAATTTGCATTTTGAGGACACAGTAATGTCTTAAGCTGCCAAGGGTGGTATATTGCTTTCCAATGAAGAGATCAAAAGGAGTGAGAAGCCCTTATAGAGGAGATACATGATTTTCTTGTTAAGATAGACACATGATTGAACTTCCTGTAAACCCAAAGGCTCAAAAAGACAATTAAAAATGTCAACGGTTTGGAACAT